TTGTAAGTCTCATACAGTAACCTACACCACTAAATATAACATTTTTGCAGTAAAATAAAAGTTTTGGGRGGATCTATCCCCCTYATCATCCCTTTAATTACGCCTCTGTCTGTTATTCCTACTTATTCGGTTCCATTTAATTATGCTGTAAGACTACACTGTTTTTAAAAACTGTGATCTCTTAATTTCTATTTTTGAAACACTGCAGCAGCATATGGCATAAAATACGTGTTATTTTTAATCACCAAGTGTGGACTTGTTATACTACACAGATTCCATTCGTTGTACGGTGCTGAGTCTGGATGCGTGGATATCAATGAGTGTCAAGACAGGATCGATCGATGTGATCCAAATGCCATGTGTGTTAACGAAGTGGGGACTTATAGTTGTCAGTGTAAACCGGGCTTTGAGGGAAATGGCTATTACTGTGGAGCCATTACTGAAGCTCCAAATACGGGTAAATCTATTGTACCTACCTACATTTTTTTATAGAGATTCGATACCAACCGTATATTTAGGGAGTTCAATATAGGAAATTTTGTTATGAGGACGCCACACCCGCATGTGTTGTCTCCGTCTTACAAGTGCGGAACATAGCAATCTTCACGCTCAGCAGAACACGTGTAGCGGTGTAGCTCTGTTAGCTTAAAATTTAGAGTGAATTGATGACCTATTATAATATTAAAGGCGAGATTATTATTAATATTATCTCATGGGTTTTTCGTTATATTTTAATTTTAAAGCGTGTTATGAGTATTTTAAGATATACAAACAATTTACAATTTTAAAATACTCATAACTYACTTTTAAATTAAAATACAATATCAAGCCCATGAAATGCTCTAGCCGCTCTAGGTAATCATATTGCCTTTAATTTTTATGATAGGTTGACTTACCCGTGATCTGCTAAGCGTAAAATTTGATTTGCTACGCACTTGTACGATCGATATATTATAACATATATACATATGTGTGGCATCCTCTTGAGAAAGTGCGTGTTGAGTAAAATATGCGAGTGCCTAATGAGTGACCGTTATTTTAATTATTAATAATTTATACCTTTAACAGTATTATGATTATACCCAGACTCCATATCAAATTTTGAACCCCTGTATTTATATCTTTGCGGCACACATACAATTTCATTTAAATTCCTATAAAAATTTCAAAAATTACAAATCATGTCCAACAGCCACCCTCCTTGTGTGGACCTAGCTTATACCTACTGTAATATAGAATACAGTAAATTATTATACTYTGTATAATGTTAAGAAGAGGAGGGGCATTTGCGCACTTGGATGCGCTATCAATAACCATATATAGGTATATATAATATCCATATAATGTTAATCGTCAGAGTAAATTGGCCTATTATCTAACTTAAAGTTAAGAACATCTTTTCAGTTATYTGTGATTGTATATTGGTTTAATTTAATTTTCTTTTTGAAATTTACATATTATTGTATACGAATAGGTATGTAAAATATTACAATTTATAATTTAAAAATGGTCATCCTCGCTTGAAAATCAAAACATCGCAAAAAAAAAAAAATAACATTCAAAACTACAAAACATACAGATAATGTCTTTAACCAATGTCTTATAAAAAGTCAATCACTCTTACACAAAAGCTGAGACCACACAATTTTAGTCCAGTTTAATGCAAATGTAACATGTTGCACACGAGTCAGAGAAATAAAATAATAGGTATAATAGTGCACTGTCACTCCTTTAAACATTTTGTTTTTGTATAAAGTATCAATTTTTACTAGTTGTATTAAMTTACCTAGTTATATTTGATAATATATATGAATTCGTCGTGAAATTTACTTGAAAAAGAGTTTCTTAGAATTTTCCGCTATCTTTTTTTTTAATTAAAAGAAAAAGATTTTTAGAAATTACCTAACTTCATCACAAATTCAAATATGTTTTCATTAGTTGTATATGATTACTAAGATTGTAGTACAACTGACATAAGATAGGTATATTTCGATACAAAACAAAAATGGAATAAAATTTTCCATCTTTATAATATGTATATATTTTATATAATATGGCAACATCGAAATTTATGTTTTTTCAGAACCAACATCAAGGGCTTATAACATAGAAAACAGTGTTTGTGATGTGCCTGATAACATCAGCACTTGTTCCTGTACCCAAGGGTAAATTGACAATATATTCATCATCTATAATTACATAAACTTATACATTGGTATTTAAGTATGTTTTAAGAAACAAATCGTTATAAATAATATCCAAATTATTCTTTAAAACAATTTTTCTTTAACTTAGTAGGTATATAAATGCAGTATACAGTGAAACTTCCATTCACAATATTTTTTTAAGACCAATAACTAAATAAGAATCAAATTTATTTAATTCTCTGTAACACGATATTATGCTGTACCTAGTAATGTGGTTGTGTCTCATGAGATTTCGTAATTTGGAAGTTTCACTTTTTTTTTCTTCAAAATGTTGAGCTTGACTTACGTTTTCTTGAATTAAATAGTACATATTTATTTTAAATTTTATTAACTATATATAGTTACGAAATACGTTTGCTGTCGGGAGACTCTACTGATTTTGAGTGCGTAGATGTCAACGAATGCAATATACCAGAAGTCTGTCACAGGGACAGTCGTTGCACGAATTATCCAGGCACCTACACGTGTGCTTGCAATGAAGGTTTCATAGGCGATGGACTTCGGTGTTTACCGTTACGTAAGTTCATACGGAGTGATCCGTTTATTCACACATTTTTTAAGTGATTGCTGTATTCTTRAAAAACGGAAATGGTATTTTTGATGTAGGACATAGCAGTATAATAGGTAATTATTTTCTTACATAATTATAGTTAAAGCCTATACGTATATTTTACAAAAATGTACCAACCTAGATAATAAATGAAAAATTAATATTTTTATTAATATTTAATATTTCAAACTATTGTCCACCTATATTAGTTAACAATTTTATATCTACCTAAAACATACAAATTTAGTTAGCAAACTAGGATAAGTATCTACAGCATTATTTTGTATTATACTTTCTAAACTTATATATGGCATAATTAATACTTATATTGTTTATAGACCCCAGATGCCGGTTAGAAGGACAAAGATACATAGGTCAGGGTTGTCCTGTGCAGAAAACGTGTACCCAAGATTTGTGTCAATGTCCATCATCATACGTTGACGTTGGAGAATATTGTGCGCCCTATGATGATATAACGACCGCAGAACCGGAGGAAAGTTCTATAACAGAATCGTCGAGTAAGTGTCGGGCAAATTATTTATATTGTCAATTAATTGTATTAATAATTATAAAAATGTTTGTAGTTTCGTGTGCCGAGATCAACACGTGTCATGCTCATGCCCAGTGTAACTTTATAAGCTCTCAACAACGACACAAGTGTCAATGCAATCCGGGTTATGAAGGAGACGGATATGAGTGTTCGATTATTGGTAAGACAACTAACTACTAAGAACCAATAGTTTTATTATTTAAAAAAAAAAATATACCACTATGAAAGATTTWAAAAAAAATAGATAAATATTACAAACTGTCATAAAACTACTTTACAAATTATCCAATATGMTGCAGCATGACAGAATTTTTATATTTAAATGAGTAATAACTATAGCTTCATAAAACATGCAAATTTAAGCATAAAATAAATAAGAATTGAAGTAATAACCCTTTATAAAAAGTAACAATATTGTTAATGTTGTTGAACTTTATTCATATTTGCCCATCTTCTCTGCATCAAGCAAATCATTATTTTCTACGCATAGACGAAATTGAGCATTTAAAACCTCGAGCCAGTCTCCTAATGAGGGATTTTTCCAAACCACAATCATCTTCTCAATTTTCTTTCTTCTTATTTTTTTAGAAAACATATCTTATGTTGTAAAAAAAAATATTCAAATATTTCTCGTAGATTACAAATCAGATAAGTAGGTAAATTTAAAAACATTGGTACTTATACATTAATTAATTATCTTTATTATATTTAATTTAATTTAATATAAAAATGTTTTACTGTATGTTATGTTGCTGCTAAAAAATATTTAGAACAATCGTGTTCAAAGTCAAACATCTGTGATATGCATGCTAGCTGTCAGATGATTGAGGGTCATTCAATATGTGTATGCAACAGTGGATATGAAGGAGATGGTGTAATATGTACACCAACTGGAGAATGTGTCGCAGACTCAAATTGTGGCCCTAACGAGATGTGTATGTATAATGAAACCAGTTACATATATAGCTGCAAGTGTTTGGAAGGTTATCAAAAGATTGAAAACAAATGCCAAAGATCACGTAAGACACAGTTGTATATTTAACTTACAATAAGCCACAGTAATATAAGATTATTGATCAATCTTAGGCTGTTCATACGAATGTCACAGATATGMCAATTGTGTACAAGGAGAAAGGAATAATTATGCATGCCGTTGTAATAATGGATACCGAGGTAATGGTGTTACACAATGCGATCGGATTATTGAAACTGGCTGCACCGAGAACTCATGTCCACCAAATACTGAGTGTAACAATATAGGAAATACTTTTAAATGTTCTTGTGCTCAGGTAATTAATAAAATAGGTTAGATTTAATTTCAATAATTCATTTAATATTATTTCCAATATATGTATATATATATTTTTTTGAAGGGATATACAGAAAACTGGAATGGTTTAGAGTTATCGTGCTCAGAAACATGTATTGTAAATACAAGCATTTGCCATCCATTAGCACAGTGTACAATTGATGCATTAGGACATTATATTTGTCAATGTAGRCAAGGATATATAGGAAATGGTTATTACTGTAAAGGTAAAACAAATATTTGAAAATTACATATAAACATAATAATTAATATTTATTTAAATTACAATAGTTTGTTTATAAAACATCAATTTATAGCATCTATAAAACAAAATCTTTAAAATATTTACATAGAATTTATGTATAAAAAAAAAATTGCTTGTAGCCAAGTGGTTAATCACTTCTGCTCAGACTTATTTTACCCTTATACTTAAAACTTAAGTATCATTTGTTTTAAGAAAATAAAAAAACAACAAAAGAAGACATTTACTTACTTGTAAATCAAGGGATGGCAACATTGCATATTCCAACTGTTCCAAGTAAAACAAGAGGAGATTATCCAATTCATCTGCAATTTGATAAAATAGCTATTGGTAAGTATTTAAAATTCTTATTGTTTAAAATTTTGTGATTAGTTGCATACTATAACAGAAATAGTAGACAATTCRAAAGTGTTTAACACCATCGTCCTCATCATACTGATTATTAAATAACAAACAGAATTCAAATTATATACAATTTAGTATTTTTAATAGAAATTACCAAATTATATACAATTTGGTATTTTTAATAGAAATAAAGTTTATAGGGTTAGCTAGTAAATTATATTTTATTTCCAGGTTTAGCAGTTGATTGTTTAGAAGAACAGGTGTATTGGAGTTATATAGCAGATCGCACAATTAAGTCTTCTAAACTGAATGGTTCAAATGTGCAAGAATTTATTGCTACTGAAGCAACATCAACCGAAGGGTTGACCATCGATTGGATTAACAGAAAGATTTATTGGACAGACTCTGGTTTGAAACGAATAATGACAGCAGATTTGTATAACGGAACCCATGTCACAATCATAGCAAACTCTTYACTGAGTAACCCTCGAGGAATTGCTGTTCATCCAAACAGAAGGTAGTATAATTATTCATATAAAACTGAAATATTAATTAATTGATATTATACATGGCTAGAAAATTATTTTGGTCAGACTGGAATAGAAATAGTCCTAAAATTGAATGGTCTGATTTGGATGGCAGTCAAAGAGAGATTTTTGTTCAAGGACCTAATATCAAATTACCAAACTCTMTAGCTATAGATTGGTATACAGATGAACTCTGTTGGGCTGATGCAGGTTTAAAAAGCATAGGTAATTTCAAAATACACTTCACAAAAAGTTTTATTATTTTTATTATTGATAATTGATATTAAGCCATTTATTATTTGTTATCTAATATTATAAACAGATACATTTTTTTTTTGTTAATTTATCAATTTAGACATGATGGATATAAATAATTGAATATTAATGTTTTTTTTATTCTTATATTCTAGAATGTATTGGAATAGATAGTCGATTACAACGGACTGCTGTTGCTAATTGCAGTTATCCTTTTGGACTGACTATTACTAGGGACAATTTTTATTGGACTGATTGGATAACGTGAGTATTCTCCAATTTTTAATGTTGAATGAAATATAAAACAAATATATATCTGTATTTTAGAGGGAAAATCGAATTCATTGGAAGAAATGAAAAAGTGAAGAGAGAAAGTCTGCCTGTACCTCTACATGGAAATGGAAAATTGTATGGAATTGCAGCAGTTACCGGAAAATGTCCCTAATATTAAAGACTGACTTGTAAACAAATTTGTTTGAAATTTAAAGTCCAAAGAAAGCAATGAATCAAACATGGTAGCAGTACTAAAATTCAGTCTAATGGGCTTTGTCCTAATAATGAATGTATAAATAGTAAAAAAATAAACATAATATACCATGTTCAGATTGGTTTATACAGTAGAGTAGTAACATATTTTTTACGATATCTGTGTGTTGCACTCAACACCATGACTCCATCCTTAATTGAAAGAGCATACAAATGGTTGAGCATCACATGGTTTGGTTCTGGAAGAAGTGTTGGTTCACACTATACACAAAATTGTTTATTTAAAAAAAAGAAAAATATTATTTTGTATGAGTATAAATAATTACCGAAACTGAAGTGTCTTTGTTCAGTATCACTTGCAGAAGATGTGGTGGTAAAATTGGTGGACCAGAAACTTTCTGCCACGGAACTGATGGAGGAATATCTTGAGAAAACCCACCTGAATATAAAAAAAAGTAGTATAAATAGTTTCAGAGTATCAACATTTATATTCATTATAATTACGGAATCTTTATCATCATTATTTTAATTTAAAAATAAAAATAAACAACTTAAATAAAAAAAGTGTCTAAACAGTTACTAGAAGTTTTTGGCATATGTTGTATTTTAATTTAATAAAGTGTTTAATATAAATTTAGACTAAATATTTATTAAAAATCATAAATATYGTTTTAATATGTAGTATTGAATTAAAATGTACTTAAGTGTTATTAACATAATTAAAAACAAATCAGTAATTAATTGATATTTATTTTCTCGAATAGTCAAATGTCAAATATTAGTAAATCTGATTAGTGTGTAATTCTTATTTTTTAGACGTTTGATTTTTACATAAAATTTAACAAAGTAAGATGTTACAGTTGTATCAAAATTAATATTCTYAATCAATTGATGTATTATATAAACATATTTTCATATCTTGGTAGTAATTTTTACAGTCCATGCTAATTTGAAATTGAAATAATTCTACTACAAGTTTAAATGATTTAAAATGAAATAAGCAATTAATTCACTACTTAATTTTTAATATATAGACAGGTTAGTTTAAATATTTAGAATCTATACATAAAAAAAACAAAATCTGCACTAGACAGTTTATAAAATAAATATGTTGATTACTTTTTTCAATGCTAGTTTCGTCAATTGAATCAACATCTAGTGCTTGGAAAACTTCAAAGTCTGTTTTCCTTACTACTACTTTGTTATTTGTTATGCCTGGATCACCTTCAATCATGCTCTATAAATAAAAATTACATTGTAATATGATAGATTTTCCAAAAATAATGCAATATAAAAACTTACAACTTTATTATCACATTGCCAATTGCCATCAACACAAAATTTATAATGGTGTTCACCTTCTGGTAAGTCAATTATAGTTACAAAATCATTGTGACTGAAATCATAAATAAAATTGACAGCGTATTACTTATAMATTTTAGAAAACAAATAAAATAAGCCACGTGGCATAAAAAAAATTTAATTTATGATAAGTGTAAGTTCTATAAATTATTATTAAAATATGCATATTTTGCTCTAAGAAAGCAGTTAAATAGTGCTTTCACTTGTGTGAATTCATGACACTATTGTAGTGATCACGTYGCCTACAGGTATCAGTAGTCAAGGATGATGTTTGGAAGGTRACTCTTGAGTTAATTACACAACGTAGAATTCTTCTTAATTAGATKAATTGTTTATTTATTGTGGTAAAACATATATTTATTTATAACATGAAAGMTGAATGTAAGTTAAGTATTCTGAATGATTAGAATTAATTCGGTCGACTCGAATATTTTCTAAGTTCAAAATATTGTTTATAAGAAATTTTCTAAGTCCAATAAATTAAATTAAACAACAGACTGGCGTGAAGGTGCTCTGGCTAGTCTGGTCAAGTCGCGTCTGAATACAGGCCGTTTCGGGGTCTCTTATATAGTGCTACCCTCTACTCCCCATAGTCTACTTGCTCTTGTCGCTGTTCTCACGGATGTGGTATACTTATCTAGATTGACAGAAATGCCACTCGCCCACGAACGAGCTAAATGCGTATCCCATGCAGCTACAGACCTCAATAATTTATATTATTATTATGTAAAAATATACATTATAATATTACATTATGACATTGTTTCTTGTAACTTTTGTATTGATGCATAACCCCACATCCTGTGCACACCTATAAACGATCTTTTATGGTCGTCTAACCACATGATTTCGTGTTGCCCTAACGTTAATGATTTCCACGAAATGCTTTCTCTCTTATAATTACAAAGTTGGTCGCACCCTACCTTATCTTGGTTCGGCTGGTACCTAGTTGACCATGAACTAGACAATGCGAGACGCTAGTCCATAGCACTATAATTAATTYTACTTTGAAAGTTAATGTCATTTAGTTACACAATTTATTTATCAAAAAAATTCTTATATTTATTTGTATAAAAACAAGTTTTGAAACTGCATAGAAATACAAACTGTAGTTTAAGTTTTAGAGTATTGAGTCAGATATTCAAAGACTGATGTGTTGAATGCAACAATGCCTTGGCATTAAGTAATACAAGTTAAATATGTGAAATGAATAAAAAATTAAACAAAAATTTGTGACGTAAAATTGATTTCATACATTAAAAATATGTTTTTATATTAGGCAAGGACCTGTGATTCAAAAATGTCTTAATAGCACTCAGTATACCAAGAAAAAAAAATGTGAGAAACACTGCTGCTCTAAACAATATTGAACTTTTTTACATCTTAGCATATATGTTTAGGTCATGCTACCTAAATTTCATACAAATAACAGTGGTACTAACTTAAGAATTCAAAAACATTTTTTCCTTACTGTTCGAATTTTAACTTAAAAAATAAAAAATAAAAAATAAAACTATCATACATTATAAAATAAAATATTTGTAGAACTATATTTACTCTTAAAAAAATTAAAAATAAAATTAATCTGCTGTCACTGAACATTTTAAACCTGAATCACTAAACTATTTTAAATGTTGAGATTCAAACTTTAATTTTACTTTTAATTTTTTATGAGTTTGTGGTTTCGATGAGTTCAAGAATCCATTCCTATTCAAAAGCCAACAACAGAACTAAAAAGTTGTTTTAAYGTCAAATAATATTACCAATTTAAATATAGATGCGGGTATAGATGTATATTTATTATTTATAGTTTATATAGTCAACATTAATGATTTTCCACTTTTCCTAGTAGATAAAAGTGAAGATATATCATATTATTTAAAAACATGATGATTATATTCTATGGGGAATAAGAAATCTTTGCAAATTTGAAACTTATAAAATATAAATTTCAAAAGAATTTAAATTGTACATTACAAAATATTGGTATAAAAATACATATGTATACCTAGATTAATTTTCAATTTTCGATTAATTTCAAAAAAAGATGATCACATTACTATCTGTATAACATTCTGTCTCTATTTTACAAAACGTAAACCTAATAGAAAAATGTTAATTCAGCATATTAACTAGTTTTGTGTTTTTAGCTGTAAGTTTGTATTTAACCTATTTATTACAGGCAACGCAATGTTTTGGAAATTAGGAATCTTGTTTGTTACATTATGAATGAGACAATGAACATAATGACCTCGATAATGATATACTCGTGAAAAATCCAATAAACATACCTACATCAATAGTAATTAATAAGTTAAGTTAAGCTAAATATAAACATCAACTACCTATATCAATCCAATGTTAACATTTTTCTACTCAAGTCTTAAACTTCTTAATGAATAACGATTAATGGTAACTATCTACAGTGAAGAAAATTGAATAAAAATTTAACTTTACAATTTATAAGTTATGTATATAGACCTGTATAAGATCCAATAAAAATACCTTTGAACCATTGGTATGGGTTTCCATTCAGAGAAGGTGCCACTAATGAATACTTGTTTGCCACCACCTTCCCATCTGAACACGGTCGGTAACATTTTGTTTTCTGTGTCGCTTTCTGACAATGAATGCGGCATGCCGTCAGTGAATTCATCGTCCTTATAGATCAAGAACAAATAAATCAAATTAAACAATCAGCAGATAAAAATATAAACAATATTCAAAGTACACAACAGAAGTGCCTATTAGACAACCGTTGTTGACATACATTAGGTTTAGTTGAACTCGCGTTAGGCTCGTGTAACGCATTGGAATCTGAAGTTTTATCAAACACAAATGCTTGACTTTGCACCTCCTTTGTCGGCGAGGACGGAACGATCAGACCTGCCGACTTGTGACGCTGACTGCCACTAGTGTTACCCATAACCGTACACAATGGGCACTGTTGTCTACCGTCAAATGGGATGGATATTATTTGCTTGTCGTTACTAGTTAGACTTTTGATCCTTGGAACGCGGTTGTAGCTTAACGCTAAGGTTTTAATCAAAATTGTTGTTTTACTAATTGTACGTTTTAATTTGTTGTTTGCGCTTGATAATCGTTGTCGTCCTGTCCATCGATTATAATAAATGATAATTAAAAATAATTACGATATTGTGAGAGTGAACATAATATTACGGTGAAAAACGAACATGAAAACAAAAACATTTATAAGTTATTAAACACACAATAATGTAAAAATAATAAACACAGGAGAAATGTTCTTCTTATCAAGACCACTGCGCCGTCGTCCTAAGGTCGTTCACGATTACAGTGCACAATTATTGTGATTAAGTACAATTTTATTCTGCGTAACAACCTTTAGATCATAAACACTCGTCGTCAAATTTCCGGGAAAATSTCTCCTCCGGGCTACGAATTGATCGGGCAGGTGGCAGTCGTCAATGGTGGTAAACACTGTAAATAGTAAATACTAGATTATTTATCTTTAAATTTAAATWAATTATTTACAGTATTTGGTGGTGGTCAGCAGCTGCTGCAGTCCAACTCGTTTAMATTATAAATTATGATATTATTTTTTAGSGGACAACGACCATAACAATTCACAATGTTRTTGTTGTTCGACGACTGATAACAACTGATAAGAAGACAAAAGGAGCCATGTCGATTTAAGATGGACAGGTTGAGCAACGAACCTATAGATTCTGAGGCGCAACCATGATTTAAGATAGACTATCTTCAATCATGTAAGGAGCTGCAGCAGCTGTTCATAATATTTTTATCTATTACAAAAATAAATAATACAGCAGCTGCAGAATACCTAGATTAAAATAAAATATCATTATAATCAATATTATTAATCACTATGGATTAAATCTAATATCACCATCAATCACCATTAAAGCTATTCTGACCATACTACCTGCTGGAAGTAGGTACTATAATCATACCTATAAGAAATAATATTATTATTATTTATGGCTTACTAATATACTACAGAAGGTATTATATTTTTATATTTTTTACTATTTACGTTATATAATACTGCTGCTGTGCACAGTTTCGAATTCCAAAGATTGACGTCGGATGATGTTATGCAGAATTTGAGATATTTTTCATTAGCTTGGATGCTGAGATTTAAAAACAACGAATACTACAAAATCAGTTTTAATTCATGGTTAGGTTGTGTGATATAAAAAAACTACTACGACCTTTATACATAATCTGTAGTAGTGTAGTGTATTGTTAAATACATTTATGAGTATACTCACCTAAACGTATTTGAGTAATTTAAATTTTTAAGTTATACCTTAAAAAATGTACTTGATACTCTTAATGAGACAATAAAGTATGTAATTACTCGTAATACTCGTATATAATATCACTGATCTTCTAAAATAATCAATGATATTATCAAGTGATGTTAATAATATCAAATTATTCACATTATGTTAAACATAACTACGAAAAATTAGATACTTATTATTATTATGGCATCGAGTACATGCTTTACAAGCCCACATTAATTGTTACATAGATGTTGTTAAATGTAATTAATTTAACTATAGAACATTTTTTTTTTTAAATTTTTACAGWACTGCATTGTGTGTACACTAGTTATAGTAGTATGATAAGCTAAACTGCGCATCCCATTGTTTTTAATAATTTTTTTGTGATATATTTTCTTACAAAGCACTGTGCAAAGTAGGGCTATAAAAAATATGAATAAAAAT